ATACGTGTTGCAATATTTATGCCTGTATAAAAATACTACAAAAATACTATTTAATTGAGCAGATCATATACGTTGCCTGGGCTTTATAAAGCACAGCTTATTATACAAACTATAATTGCTTGCATTTGCATGTTATACTACAACTAAGCAACATTTTTAAGCCAAATTGAATAAACAGCAATGTGAATGAGTTGTCTGTTAGTGCAGGTAGCTTGGCTGCTTGAACAAAAAGAAATAGATTTACATGCCATCGAAACAAAGAAGGCCAAGAATACTTATGCCAAGCAAGCCAGGGTTTGTAAGCCAAGAACAAATCCTAAATTAGCTCAAGCTCATGAATGTTGGCTTGCTTAATATACAATCCCAATTCCAGACTTGGATACTGTCTCATCTGTAGACTTTTTTTTCCCAGAGATGTGCTTTTCAGCCTTTGATCATTTGAATCTTTTTAAGGTGCTGCAGGCTGATGATGACCTGCAGGAAATGATGGAGAAATACGAAGAGAATCAGGACCAAATCTTACTGCTGGACAACACCCAACGCCGTCTGTAGAATCAGCTGTCTTACTATGGACAAGACTCAAGTACACAGATGGTTTAGCCTAACAGAGAGAGAGAGAGAGCTTTAGGCTTGGTTTCTGCAAGCAGCTTGAATTGGTGGGCTTGGAAACTGGAAGGCATTCTGAGCAGCTTTGCAGAATGGTCCAAGTGTTTGGAATTACAGAATCGCTGAGAAGGTCCACTATTTCCATGCAGGATAACCCACCCAGAGCCAGAATGGATTCTGCACTCTTCTCTGCTTCCCATCCTCAGCCTCTTCTCTGTTTTTGGACTGTACCCTCGAAGAGTAAATACATACACATAAGGCGTGGCTAATTCTTCTCTTTTGCAACAGCCCATCTACTTTTTTAAGCAGCTTGCACTTAATGCTGATAGTGAGGCCCGAGAGACTCACAAATGATGGAGGAATATGAAGAGAATCTGAATGGAATGTGTAGCTATGACTTGATTCCTCCTGCTGCCGGCAGACGGTGCCATTTGGAGTTAGCAAATGTGCAGCTCAAATGCAATGACATTAAAAAATTTTTTTCCAAAAGAAGAATTTTAATAGAAGGGAACAAAAAAAACAACCGGCCAGGCTTATTACTAGTACGTACTACTTGTTGCATTTGTGTTAATTCTTTTAAGTATACTAAAAAGTTTATACAATATAGCAGCGGCCTCCAACCTTTCTAGCTCCGCAGACTGGCAGTCTTGGTGCTTGGCTGCCAGCATCACTGTTGCCGGGAGGGGGGGAAAGGCAGCGGGGGGGGGGGGGGGGGCGGAATAGTTTTGTGCACACAACCTAATCCCGCACATGCACAAAGGGAGCTTTGTGCGCTCATCCTCTATTTGTATAAGGGTCGAGCTGACTAAAATGCTGAGCTTGTCGATCAGAAACAGTTCGGCAGTTCAAATCCCTAGTGCCGTGTCACGGAGTGAGTTCCTGTTCCTTGTCCCAGCTTCTGCCAACCTAGCAGTTCGAAAGCATGTAAAAATGAAAGTGGAAAAATAGGGGTCACTTTGATGGGAAGGTAACAGCGTTCCATGTGCCTTCGGTGTTTAGTCATGCTGGCCACATGACCAGAGGCGTCTTTGGACAATGCTGGCTCTTCAACTTTGTAATGGAGTACCGCCCCGTAGAGCCGGAAATGACTAGCACATATGTGCCAGGGGAATCTTTACCTATTCCTAATGGGATGCAGCACGATACCTGTCCGTGACGCTGCCCCCATCCCCGGGGCTTGGGGATCACTGCAATATGGAATAGTCGAGTTACTTTCCATCCATGAATACATAAATTGTATAGATTATATGAAACAGGTAAAGCAACAAACGGAGATAGACGGTATTGTGTTGACACCCAAAACTGGGTGGTTGTCAGAATTCATTCCAGGGGCTCACTTTGGATGGCCCCAACCCACTCTTGAGCACCAGGCAAGGCAACTCAACCAGGATGCAGATCCTTTTGCCTCCTCATTCTTCCTGTCTTTCAGGGGCAGATAAATCCCTGTGTCTTCACACTGAGCTTTTAGGCAGCTCAAGCCAGGTGAGCACAAAAATTAAGGTGACCGTCATGCCTAAATCACGTCCATGGCCACATATGCGCAGGATGAGTGAATATGAGTCCAACTTTCAGCCTTTTATTATTTTACTATTATTATTTACTATTTTACTATTACTATTTACTATATTATTTTACAATTCATTTGGGATTATTTCTTTTAGAGAATTTTGTATTTGATATTAAGAGTCTGGTTCAAGGAACAGTCATGCTGGATCAGTGACTTACACGAGTGTATATAGATAAATGATGGAGTACAGGCATAACTTTTTGATCTGTCTTTTACTGTTAACCTAGTTTGGAGCTAAAATGTCCTTGAGATGGATAGTTTGGGGTCTGAAATAGAACATGGGTTGGAAGGTACATGTTTACACTGAAGAGAAGGTAACTTTGCTCAACTTCTTACAAAGAAGTGTACAGTTATATTAAATGAGTGTAGAAGTTTCTATTCAACATGTTTTAGGTTCTCTTGGTTACAGTTTACTGGGGTAAGAACAGCAGATGCGATTCCAAAATATTTATCATTCCTTTCCTTCATTACAAATGTATCAAAATGCGTTATTGTCTCACATTCTTAGTCCAAATAAAGATAACTGTCTACCTGTTTTTTAGCTTATTTTCCCTGAGACATGGAATTCTAAGATAGAAGAGTTGATTATGTCTTTTATTTAAATTGTTATGTTATTGCTGGAAAATTAACTGGGATTCAGTTATTCTCAAATTGAGCTGCATAGCAATGTAAAAAAAATACAAGCATACATTAAAAATCTTTAATATATTAACAGTTATTGTCATTGATTTAATCTATTTCACTGGGAACACAGCAATTTTATCTCTTTTCCCATCTAATATTAAAATACGGCGATCATAAAATCTTTTCAGTCTCCATAGTTGGCGTCAGTCTGGTTGGGAAAGTGAAAGCAATTTTGAAATAACTTTTAAGATCCACAAATGATTTTGTATAGTTCTCTTTTAGGGCTGGATAGGAAAAAAAATGCACTTGGCAGTGAACTCTTCACGCAAGCCTACAGAAAGACCTGGATCTTGTATGTTCAGTCCAAACACTGAAACAGAAAATTATGCTACTCCTACAGGGTGTTCTTCCAACCTTTATGTAAAGAGGTTTTGTGTGTGTGTGTGTGTGTATACATCTTTGTACATGCCCTAAAGTCAATTTTAAATCCTGGATTAGCCCCTGCAGTTTTCTTGGCAAAATTTTTCAGAAATAGTTTCCCATTGCTTCCTTTCTGGGGTTAAGATAGAGTGACTGGCCCAAGGTCACCCAGCTGGCTTTGTGTGATGGCCCGAGGCATGGCACAAAGGCAACACAGTCACATAAGTAAGAAAAGTCCCTTTAATACCTCCAATGTCCAGTTACCTTCGGTTGGAGAAAAAACTCTCCCAAGAACAATCTAAGTGGAGGAAATTCAGTCCAAACACAAAGTACATATAAACTGTAAATAAAAATCCACACAAACCACGCTGCAGCAATTAACTGGACAGGGCAGGATAAGGAATTCCAGACTTGAAAGGCCAGCAAAACACACACAGTTGGGAAGACATCAGGAACCCAGACAAGCCTCGACAATAACAGATAACTCACAATTTGCTTCCAACAAGTTGCTGCGCGCAGCTTCCCTTTTTAAACACTGTTCTCAGCTGAAGCTAATGAAGGGAATCAGGGCCCTTTCCTCCCCCATAAGCCATGCAACTCATGTTGCTCCCTTCTGTTCCTCCCTGCGTGCCTTAGGATGAAGATGAGGTGGGCCTGGATCTTCCTCTGAATTCCCTGTCCCTTGCTCTGTCCAGCTGGACTGTGTCCTTCCCCAGTTTGTTCCACAGCCATACTTAGGACTGGTCTAGAACTCCCAGTCTCCAGGTTTCTAGCCTGGTGCCTTAAACCACACCACCTAATTGGCTTGCTTTATTTAAGCAGCCCCAAGAAAAGATAGCTTACAATTTGGAATGTGATGGTAAGGTAATGTTATAAAAAGAAGACAAATCAAAAATATATTTTAATTCTAGAAGGAGTAATTTTCAAGCAGAAAATATTTCACAGGCATTCTACCTTGGCTTTTTAAGCATTACTTATAAGCAGCCCATGTTCTGAGCTTGAACTTCAGTTCCTTGTGGCAATGAGTGAATGGCTAATTGTTCAGCTTCAGAATTGTATTTTTACAAGCGTCCTTCTTGCAGAGATAAGAAGCTGGCACCCCTTCAATTGCAAGCGTCCAAGGCTCATGTTCCCTTGAATATTGGTCATATTAGCTGAAGCGGATGAGAACTGAAAGTCCAAGAAGTTCTTCAGCTCAGCCATACTGGCAGAGAAGCACAAAATGAACTGGAGTAACATGATTAGAAACAATAACCAAGAACAGGGAATCAAAATACAAATAATCCTCAACTTATAACAGTTTGCTTAGTGACCAAAGTTACAGTGGCGGTGAAAAAAGTGACCGTTGCAGCATCCCCATGGTCATGTGATCAAAATTCAGGCACTTGGCAACTGGTTCATAGTTATGACGGTTGCAGCGTCCCAGGGTCATGTGATAAAACTTTTACAACCTTCCGACAAGCAAAGTCAATTGGGAAAGCCAGATTTGCTTAACAACGGTGTGACTGATTTAATGATTGCAGTGATTCACTTAATGGCAGTGGCAAGAAAAATCGTAATTCAGGGCAAAATTCATTCAACGTAATGTCTCACTTAGCAACATAAATTGTGGTAGTTTGAGGATTACCTGTATCTATGGTGAGAAATGATTGAACATTTTCCACATTTTCCTTCACTAAATGTTGAAAATATTTCCAGGCCATTGATTATATTGGTACTTCGGTATGCATAGTATGTTGGCTGCTGGTTCATTATTACAAGACAACATTTTTGGACAGAGTTGAATTCTAGTTGTCTGATCGTGGATGGGACAAAATGTTTATCCACAAAGCCTTGAAGAAGCCAACAAACAAATGAGAGAAGAAAATCAAAAGGAGATACAAGATGTTTTGTATCACCCAACGTATTTGGGGTCCAAATGGCTTTTCCATGCATGATTCAAAAATTATTTTTTCTCTCATTTTCATTTTTTTTGTTTTTACAAGACCATACTAGATTTTAAGTGCTTTCCCTTCTCAAATTTCCTGTTGAGTCCAAAATGCTTTTCTTTTAAAAAAAGAAGTCATACCAACATTTTTGAATTGTCTTCTATCCAATTATTTTTGGTTATATTTCAGTATAGAAGCAGCTTGTCTTGTCTGACCAACCTGCTATATTGCATAAAATCTTAACAGAAAGAAGTAACAATTGAACCAATCAAGAGCTAACTTGTAGCTATGCAAACCGATTGATATTCTGTGTTTCTGGATATATTTCCTACATTAAAAGCAATCGTATTTAACCTTTAAATAACATTCTTCAGGTATTTATGAAACAGCCTGTTATGAACTGAGAGCATTCAGGATCCCGAAAATTCAATAACTTTTTCTTATAGAGGTAGTTCTTGTTTAGCGACTGCTTAAGGCAGTGGCCATTCACAGAGCTGAAAAAGTAACGCATTTATGAACTTTACAGGCCTGTAAAGCAAAGGAAAGCTGAAGTAAGATAAGGAATGGTGGTTTCTTTGGATGACTGCTTAACAACCGAGTTGCTGGTTCCAATTCTCATTGCTAAAAACGTGTATATTTTAAAGTTCACAATTTACATTTCTTCAATTAAATCTGAACTGGGTGAGAAGAACAGAAAACCCTCACCAAACATTCCTGATTTGTAGTTTCTTAGTCCTAGTTCTTTATCCTGGACAACTTTCAGGCACTTAGGGACTGCATAAAAGAGGAAGAAAGGGGCACCAGTGTTCTCCCCAAAGTATGCATCCTTTTCTAGCATGACCGCCAACTTTTATGCCATGAGCAGAGAGAAGGAAATCCAGATGAGACACTGGAGCTGCATATGTGGATGAGAATTCCTTTATTGGAAATTGAAGGAATGGTTGATTCTCCCCCCGTTAAAAGTATACCTTCCTTTCAATGTTGTCACAGTAAGATGATGCTAAACCTTTTCAGGAGCTCTTAGCTGAGCACATTTGAAGTCCTATGAAACATTCCATGATCCTGTCTTGCAAGATTTTATCACTTGATGAGAAGCATGTAGACAGCCCAACCGTATGACCAATCTCGCTACAATTCAGTAAATCCTGACTTGCTGTTACTGGAGCTCTTAGGGACGTACGTTTTAATTATCTTTCTTAATAACGACATAGCTTTCTAGGCTAGGTTCGTTCATATGCACCCCACGAGTATCGAAGTCTGCCAAAGAGGAATAGAGGGGATATCTTTCTCGCCTGTGCCGGATGCCTGCTAAACTGTCAGTACAGTACTGATCCTCGGTGGGAACGGGGCAGGTTAAAATTGGGACACCCAGATGTCTGCTATAACTTGGACCAGGCGTGGGATATCTGCACCCAGTGATGTGACTGAAGTGATCTGATGAATAGAGGTCCATGTTGTAATTGTCTCTGCAGGAGAAGTTTGCCAAATTCATCTCAGGATGATAATGTTCTCCAGGGACTCTGTGGCTCCTTGCAGACTCTGGCCATGCTGTTTCTTCCACAGGATACATCAACTTCTCTACGTAGTCTTCTTCCTCGGGCTTTGGCTTCTCTCCCATCAAGGCCAAGTTATTGGAGGAGTTAGGTGACTCCTGGGCCATGCTGCCTTTCAGTTCTTTGGGTTCGTTGATTGTATCTGACCCAGGAATGCTCAGGCGCTTCATCGCATCGCAGGTTTTGGATCCAACCCTCGTTTGCCGAGTCTGGTAATCACAAGGAGCTTTGCTTACCACAGTGGAATCGTTGAGGATGGCTAAAGCTTGAGGGCCACTTTCATCAGAAGGCAGATGAGGGAGGGTTTCTGCCCCGCAGGTTGGTAGGCCCAGCCTTGTTTCTGTCAGCCAGGCCTCCTCTTTGGTTGCTCTCGGAGAAGAAGAAGAGGCAGAGAAGTGGAGAGGCTGTTGTCCAATGACAATGTCACTGTATTTAATCAGAAAGTCCTCGCTGTCCGTGCTTCGGATGCAGGAATGGGTTGAGATTTCCTCTGTTTGGTTTTGGTTCCTGTTCAGCTCAGTAGTCTGCTTGGAAGCAGCTGGCTGAGCCTCTGTTGTGATGCATCGGAGCCCAAAGCTCTCGGCCTGTTCAGTTTTGCCCTGCTCCTTGAAGGCATGCTGGCTATGACTCAAGTAGGCCATTGCAGGGTTTGGTGTCCCGTTGTTCTCTCCAACGGTGAGGTCCTCTTTTGTTTGTGAGTGTTCCTGCTTTTTAGTTAGGCCAACACCAGGAAGGCCATGTTTCTGGGCCCTCATCTGTAGGATGTCAGCAAGGTCACTGTCTTTCATGTCCCTTGCAACTTCAAGAAGGTTTTCGCACTCAATTCTTGCAAGGAATATTTCAAATGCGGTGTTCTCCGCTTCTACCTCGTTTGGTTTTCTGACCAGGGAATATTCGGTAGCAGAGGTGGCAACATAGCCGATTTCAGACAGCAGCTGTTGCACTACACTTTCCGGAAGGATGGTCTTTACATAGTAGACAAAGTTTCCTGTAAAAGTCTAAAGAGAATGAGAAAACAACATCAGGAGACATCAGCACGGAGATATTACTATTCTGTGAAATTATGGGTTGAAGATCTTCCTTGTGGATACAATAAGCAGAAGAATTCAGACTTCAGGTTGACTGAAGAGTCATACTGACTTTAGACATCTTCCTTCCTGCTGAACCTCAGATAACAGATAACCAGAGTTGGAAGGGACCTTGGAGGTCATTTAGTCCACCCCCCCCCCCCCCCCAAGCAGGGAACCCTACACCATTTCTGACAAATGGCAGTCCAATCTCTTCTTGAAAGTCTCAACTGATGGCGCTCCCACAACTTCCGAGGGCAAGCTGTTCCATTGGATATTCCTCTGTTATCTCTTTACCTGAGATGTAGTTAGCCAAATCTGGCCTTTAGGATATCATTGGTCTGGAAAATTAAACTCTAGATCAGGGGTGTCCAACCTTGGCAACTTTAAGACTTGTGGACTTCAACTCCCAGAATTCCTCAGCCAGCTTTGCTGGCTGAGGAATTTTGGGAGTTGAAGTCCACAAGTCTTAAAGTTGCCAAGGTTGGACACCCCTGCTCTAGATGGTTTGAGAAATCACCTGGTGCCCTCTAGATCTGCCACACTCCCACCTCGACATGGCCTAGGGTGGCTGGAGATGAGGACAGCAGGCACTGAAAACATCAGAAGGCCCACCCGAAGTCTGGTATGAAGAATATCTGGGTGGGCTACAAATGAATGCATCTTTTGCTAATACTTCCAAAACCCTCTTCATATCTCGAAGATCATAACAGCTACTTCAGAAGAACTGGATGGATGCCCAGTGATCCTGCACGGATTTCATGTTGATGAGCAATTTTACTAATATCATTTTAAACTGTGCTTTAAGTACACTATCTAGGGCAGAAGCCCCACAACCTTTTGGGTACCAGGAACCGATTTTGTGGAGGGAGGTGTCTTTCCACGGATTGGAGGGGGTGTCGTTTAGTCTGCTGTCTGCAGTGGTGGATTAAGGCTCGCTGGTGCCCTAAGCACTGACAAATCTTGGTGCCCTTCCTCCTTTGTACATAATGTACAAACGAAGCCATATTCTCTCAACTTTGTGGTTTCTCCCTTTGAGCCCGGTGCCCTAAGCACATGCTTAGTCTGCATTATTAGTTAATACACCACTGGCTGTCTGCATCCCGTGCATGAGTCTTCAGTTGTTTGCGCGGCCTGGTTTCTGGACCGACCTGGGAGTTGGGAACCCTTGCTCTAGGGTCATTGCCAGTAAAGACAGAGGGGTAAAACCTTAACCCTAATCCAGGGCCCCCCAAACTTGACAACTTTTAAGACTTGTGGTCTTCAACTCCCAGAATTCTGATGATTTGGTGCAGGGGAATTCTGGGAGTTGAAGTCCACAAGTCTTAAAAAGTTTGCCAAGTTTGGAGACCTCTGCCCTAACCCAATATTAAAAATTAAAGCAGCTTGAATGCTTGGCTAAAGGCTTGAACCAAGGTTAGGGAGAACCTGCTGATTCACCACGGAAGAGCCTCAGAGCCTCTCTATCAGAAACGGTGTAGGGTTTCCTACTTGGGCAAGGGGTTGGTCTAGATTTTTTAGAATAGAATATAACTTTATTACGGTCTTAGACAAGCAACAGACATCATTATTTACAATATACATTAAAAAAAAATACTGACACATTATAATACATTCATAGTGGATAAAAACACCTGTTAAGAAAATACATGTTCTCAAACAGTTAGTTGGTTTATGAGAGCGGAGAGCCAGTATGTACGTGTGTAAATAGCATTTTCCAAAGTTTGTTCTATCTCCAAAAATGGTCACCAATTGACAGCTATAATTTTGTAACCAATTTTTTTTCCTAGTAGACATTGCAGCAACCAAAAGGGGTTGGGTACTAGATGCCCTCCAAGGCCCCTTCCAACTCCGATTATCTGTTCTTTACTTCTCTCAACCCCGCCTATCTTACTTCGGATGCAAAATCGGAGGAAGGATTTTTTGTTTGTTTTTTAAACTTTCTCCACCTCGGGTTCCTGGAGCGAAGCCCGGCCCCCGCGAGAGATCCACCCCCTCCCTCAAGACGCGAAGTGGCCCAAACCCACCGGAGATCTTCCTTCCCCTCCCTTTCCTACCCTTCCTATCCTTCCCACCCACCCACCCCCCACACCCCGGCTACCTTCAGCGACTTGATCTCCTTCCTCCAGGGCGAGAGGCAAAGGTTGATGCAAAGCAGCTCCAGGTAGCCGAAGGCCTGGCTCAGTTTGCGGAAGAGGGCGGCGGCGGCGCTGCCGGCCTCCTCCTCCTCCTCCTTCTCCTTCACCCCCCTCCGCCGGCCGCGCATCCCACCGCAGCTCTGGGCGATGGCGCCCACGTCCCACTTGCCCGCCTGGGCCACCCGCAGGAGCCCGGCGCGGCTCTTGAGCGGCGCTTCGTTGCAAAGGCCAAGTTCGCCTTCCGCCCAGCGGGCGCGGTAGAAAGCCCGGTAGCCTTGCAAAACTTCTTCGCGCGGGGCGGCCGGAGACGGGCAGCTCTTCATCCTGACCGACCCCTCGACTCGGCTTCCAACTCGCGCCGCGCCTCAAGGACCAAAGCGGGACGACGCGGAAGCGGAGAGGCACCCACGCTTGGCGTGGCTGGGGGGCGGGGGGGGGGGGGGGAAGAGGCTCTCTCCGAGGGGCTGCCATTGGCCTGGCCGTGGCCTTGCCCCGCCGTGCCAGTGGCTGCCCCTGCTGTCGCTCAAGGCCAGCGGGCGTCGTTTTTTCAGTTCGGGGAAGTGGGCGGGGCCGCAAAGCGAAAGTGAAACCGAAGGGAGAAGGGAGGCGGGGGGCGGGGGGAGGCTTGCCTTGGGGACCCGAGTTCAAAGGCGGGTTGGAAGGGATTAGCTGGCTCGTTCGAGCGCCTGGAGTGGTTCTTAGACGTGCCACCATGGGTGATGGTTGCTATTACAGTTAGTCCTCGTTTTACAACGGTCCATAAACGTATTTGATTGCCTATTAGTAACCTATGACCATCCCCTAAGTGTTGTGTCTTATGATACTGGATGAATGTATTTATTTTTTCTTTATGACCACTAGGAGTTTATGCACCAAGAACAAATTCCTTGTGTGTCCAATCATACTTGGCCAATAAAGAATTCTATTCTATTCTATTCTATTCTATTCTATTCTATTCTATTCTATTCTATTCTATTCTATTCTCTATTCTACATTCTATTCTATTCTAATTCTATTCTATTCTATTCTATTCTATTCTATTCTCCATTCTATATTCTATTCTATACTCTATTCTATTCTCTCCTCTACATTATATTCTATTCTAATTCTATTCTCTATTCTATTCTATTTTCCATTCTATTCTCTCTTCCACATTCCATTCCATTCTGTCTCCTATCCTATCCTATCCTATCCTATTCTATTCTATTCTATTCTATTCTGTTCTATTCTATTCTATTCGATTTTCTATCTCTATCTCTATCTCTATCTCTATCTCTATCTCTATCCTATCCTATCCTATCCTATCCTATCCTATCCTATCCTATCCTATCCTATCCTATCTCTATCTCTATCTCTAGTCTAGTCTATTCATTTAGTGACTGTTGCATTGAAAATGGACTTAGGACCATTTTTCACACTTAAGACCATTGCCGCATCCCCATGGTCATGTGATTTACATTCAGATACTTGGCAACCGATTCACATTTCTGGTGGTTATGCGGCGTCCCGAGGTCATGTGATCCCCTCAGGTGAGCAAAGCCAACGGGGAAACCCAGATTCACTTAACAAACGTCCTACTAGCTGAACAACAGGTACTCCTCGTCTTACAACGGTTCATAAACAGATTTGATAGCTTATTAGTAACCTATGACTATCACTAAGTGTTGTACCTTATGATTCTTGATGAATGTATTTATTTTTTCTTTATGTACACTGAGAGCATTGTTTCACTTAACAAAGGTGGCAAGAAAAGTCACAAGTTGGGGCGAAAGCCCCTTAACAAATGTCTCTTAGCCGCATAAATTTGGGGCTCCGTTGTGGACGTAAGTTGAGGATTGCCTGTATTTTACATACTCTGAGTTCAACTTCCGTCTTAGCCACGAAAGCCAGCTGGGTGACTTTGGGCCAGTCAGTCATTCTCTCAGCCCAGCCCACCTCACAGGGGTGTTTGTTGTGGGGAAAATAGGAGGAGGAAGGTGTGTTGAATACGTTTGCCACCTTGAGTTATTTGTAAACATAAAAGGTGGGATATGAATGAATGAATGTTTTGTTTTACCTCAGGTGCAGGAGACTAAACCTGGGACTGCTTGCCCTGAAGCCCACATCCGGAATAGGGCCATTGGAAGGGTGTTCAGGTGAAGCAAGCATTTTCTTTCAATCTTTGTCATCATTATAGCATCATTATAGCAGAGGTGGCCTTCAGCAGGTTCTGACCAGTTCTGGAGAACTGGAAGCAGAATATTTGAGTCATTCAGAAAAGCAGCAAATCCCGCCTCTTACTGGCCCTGTCCCTATCTATTCTCTGCTTCCCGAGTCCCAACTGATCAGCTGGGTCTTCTTTTGTTGCCCTGCACAGGAGAACGGAGCTGGAAAGCAGGTTAGTGGGGTGAAGAGGTGGTATTCAGTAGGTTCTGACCAGTTCTGGAGAACCAGTAGCAGAAATTTTGAGTAGTTCAGAGAACGGGCAAATACCACCCCTGACTGGTCCCGCCCCCATCTATTCTCCGCCTCCCATTGAGTCCCAGCTGATTGGCTGGGTCTTCTTTGGTTGCCCTGCACAGGAGAAAGGAGCTGGAAAGCAGGTTAGTGGGGTGCAGAGGTGGCGTTCAGCAGGTTCTGACCAGTTCTGGAGAACCAGTAGCAGAAATTTTGAGTAGTCCAGAGAACTGGCAAATACCACCTCTGACTGGAGATTTTACAGTATCCTTCCTCTGCCATGCCCACCAAGCCACACCCACATAACCGGTAGTAAAAAAATTTGAATCCCACCACTGCTGATTATAGTAAAGTCAACCAGTTTAAATGCAACCCCGAGCCCCAACATTTGGGGAGAGGTGGTCACTATAGGCCATTCTGGGACATAAATGCTTAGAGTAGTTGATCTACTCTAGCCTTCCTAGATTCATAAATGTTGTGAACATTGATTGTAAGTAAAAACAGTTACTCCTGTGAGGCCTTTGAAGATACCAGTTTCCATAACTTGGTTGTGATGGAAAGTTTTTTTAAAAAAATCAAAACATTATACAGATAAACAATTAATTCAAATGAATGAGATCGAAACATCCCGCAGATTCTCTTCTCCCCAAAGTATGTCTTTGAGTCACGGAGGCTGTTTATAATCTTAGATTATGTAACTTGGATGCAAACCGAGGACTTCATGATGTTGGAATATTTTGGAACACCCATTCGTATTTAATAAATATAGAGCAAGCTTTTGAATCATGCAGTGTTTAAGATTAGTCGCATGAATTATCCCATATACATTTAAATGGTTAGACTATTTCTAACTCCAAAAAGGCTGTTTTAATGCATGTTGTAAAAGCTTTCCATGTATTTTTTTTTATTGCTCTTCTCTTTGGAATCATTATACAAATATCCATCGTTTAATTAGCAGCACGAAGAAACACAATTCTCTTTCTGCGTAAAGTAATCGTCACAGATGGGTGTTTTTGTTTTTGCATTTAATTGTGAATGGAACCCCATGCTTTACAATATTTAGCCTTCTATATCCAGAGGCAAATGCCACCTTTTTGCTGCTACATTTCTAAAGGTTGCTAATAGACAAACAAACAGAGCAAAACAAACCATATTCTATTCTTGCTACAATGTACAGATAGTCCTCAGCTTGTAACTATTCATTTACCGCTTGTTCAAAGTTACAAGAGAACTTATGACTGGTCCCCACACTTACAAATGTTGCAGTATTCCCTACGGTCACAGGATCAAAATTCAGGTGCTTGACAACTGGCATGTATATATATGATAGCTGTCCTGTTCCAGGGTCATGCGTGATCTTCCCAGCCATCCTCTGAAAAGCAAAGTCGACTGGAGGAAACCATATTTGCTTAACGACCATGGGATTTGCTTAGTAACTGCTGTGATTTGCTTAACCACCCTGGGAAATAAAGTCATAAAATCAGACGCGGCTCATTTACCAACCATCTTGCTTTGCAACAGAAACTCTGCTCTTAATTGTGGTCGTAAGTCGAGGTTTACCTGCAGAGGAAGAATGGGACATTCATGGGAAATGAAGCGCCATGTTGTTTCTCAACTTGGCAACATTAAGATAGGGGCACTTCTGGTTATGGCTCTGGGGAATGGATGCAATTGTTGGGAAAGGAAAATCTTAAGGGAAAGTTTTATTATTCGGCACCAAAAAAGGATATTTGATCCTAGATCCGTGATGGCGAACCTATGGCATGCGTGCCACAAGTGCACGAACCTATGGCATGCATCCATGCAGAACCATTTGTGCTGGCACGCAAGCCGCAGGCAAATTTACCTCACTGCACATGCATGCGTTTCACAGCTGATTTTTTTCAGTTGGTTTGAAGCCTTTTTTGGCCTCCCAGAGGCTTGGAAAAAGCTTCTGCAAGGCTTTTCAGGACAAATTATAGGCCCGTTTCGT